AAAATAGAATTTTATAACATTTACCCAATGTTAGCAAAATCTAACTGAATGAATCCATTTGAAAAAAAGTCGTTCTGACTTTAAATTGCAGAAATAAGAAGGAAGGCTGTCTCATAACTTTTTATTGGGCAAATTTTTTTTCTTGTATTTTAAACCTAGGAGCTACAATGAATTTCCCCACTTCACTCAAAACTCTGAACTTGGAAGTGAAGAAATGTGATTGTCCTTTGAGTAGTCTCAATACTGCCCATGGGGAATTGTTCCTTAGACACTGCAAATAAGAATATAGTAATTCCCACTGGTTATACTATTCCCCAGTGTGAAATGAATTAATTTAAGTGGTAAGAAAGAGAGCCCAGGAGACAGAATAAGGGATTGGAGTAAGTTCAAGTTGAGATAGTAAACTGTTAGGTAGCAAAAACTATGAAACTGAGGAAAAAAAAAAAAAAAAGACAGATAAAGAATGGAGGATAAGGCAATTTATTGGTAGCAGGAAATAGACCCAAGGGAACACTAGAGGGAAAATCCAAGATTGCAGGGCTGAGGTGCCCAAACCTTCAATAGCTCCATAACTGCTGTGACCTGAAGAGGTAACACGTGTAATGGATGGGTAGGAATTAGTCAGCCAACGTTTAAGTGTGCATATTGGGTGAAGAGGGAGGGCAGGAACAGTATTCTCAGACATAAGGAATAGCATGAGCAAAGGTGCTGAGGGAGGAAGTAGATGATGGATTTAAAGATCCTAAACAAAGTCAGTGTGGTGGGATATAATGGGTTAAGGAGTATGCAGGGAAGTTATAGAGGACAGGAGGTCAGATCATGCAGAGCCCTTGTGGAACACATTAAAAGACATGTTAGAAGCAAAGCTAAATTGTTTTTCCCTACGAAGCTACACACAAGCCAAACTTCTGAGAAACGAATAATGCAAAATTCAAATCTTAGATGATTAAAAATATGTCCACATGGTAGAAATGTGGCCTCACAAGTTCTTAGCAACAAGCAGCTCAAATGCTCAGAACAAGATTTGATTTCAGTAGGAAAAAAATGCTGTTGTTAAAATGAAAAGTGCCAAACATATTTTACAACTAGACTATAGTTTAATTGGAATTCGATCCATACAGGTCCTTACTGCAAACAGAATGTGTTACTAAAATCAGCTGTTATTAATTCTGTTTTTAGCCAAAAGCTAGATGAAAACAAAGCAATTGCAGTTTAATTGTCACTATTGGCAGAGACAGCCTGGGAATTAAACGGCTTACAACTTACTATATGAATACTTCTGTCTTTCCCAAATCACTCATTTCACTTCCCTTCCAGGCTGGTGGCACATTTTCATCTCCCTTTCCTCTACCCCAGTAACAGTCCCTGCATTGACTTTTTAACTTAAAAAATTATACAAATAATACTGGTTGAGCCTACAAAAATAAAGTTACACTCCAAGTACTGTTCCATAACCTGTATTTTCTTCAATATAAATATAGCTTTATATCTTTATTTTTAATGATACTACTTTCAATTAATTCATTGGGAATTTTCCTTGATAGTAGGTAAACTGACCCTATATCATCTCAGTGAGTTAGCACAGTTTAACAATCATCTCAATAAATTCACAACTGAAGTTATTATTTATTTATTTATTTATTGTTGAGACAGATTTTCTCTCTGTCACCCAGGCTGGAGTGCAGTGGTGCGATCTCGGCTCACTGCAGCTTCTACCTCACAGGCTCAAGCAATTCTCGTGCCTTAGCCTCCCAAGTAGCTGGGACTACAGGCGTACAACACCATGCATGGCTCTTTTTTTTTTTTTTTTTTTTTTTTTAATTTTTAGTAGAGACAGAGTTTCGCCATGTTGACCAGGCTGGTCTTGAACTCTTGGCCTCAAGGGATCTGCCCACCTTGGCCTCAAAAGGTGCTGGGATTACAGGTATGAGCCACCATGCTAGTCAACAATTCAATTTATTTTGGTGAAATTTGGTATTCGTTTTAGGGATAAGGTATTGATCTTACAAAGTTTGAGCTCAGTTTTCAAAAGTAACATTTGAGATCTGTTTTATTGAATCCATATATGACAATTAGATAAGCTCATTGTATTGTTTTGAGATTATTGCTAAAATTTTTGGCTATGGAAGCACTTATATTTCCATGACCTTGAGATTGCTCATGTGATCCTATAAGGAGTGGTGTTTTGAAGAAGGAGGACTGTATAGTGGAATGTAATGGGCCACAGGGTTTAGAGCTGGAAAATCTGTATTCAAGTCCCAAATGAAACCCACAATTCCCCTTTTGTTCAACTGCTATATGGATAATTCACTTACTATCCAAATGTCACCTTTTCCCCTATAAAGTGGTATTAATCATAGAACTCTCTCTGAGTTGATGGGAAGATTAAGTGAAATAGACTGTGAAAAGCAGTTCCTGAACTGTGCAGCTCAGTAATGGTTGTCTTTGATCCGACTTCACCCATGGGTTCTTTTTGATTTCAGTGTACTTTGAATTTTTAACATTCCTTGTCTTTCAACCAAAAATTCATTCTATATAGATGTTGTTTACATGCAGACTATAAGCTATATAAGGATACCGTCCCTAGCACAGTGCCTGGCAGAGAAAGGATATTCAATAAAATGAAGAAACACATACAATAATTTTTTAAAATGGAAAATATTAGGCTTGATAGGAATTAATACTATAATAAGCAAATGCATCTCTTCAAATAAACTGTACTGTACTGGAGGATGTAGACTTGTAAGAGTTATTACTCAATGCGCTCAACAAATTCTACATAGAGGAGGGAGCCACATGCAGAGGTAATTCAGAGGAGCATTGACTAGTTAGAAGTGGGTGAGTCAGGAATGGTATCACAGAAGAAGTGACATCTGATCTGGGTCTTGAATGCCAAGAAGGACTTGTCCAGAGAATGGGAAGAAGGAAAATTCAGACTGAGGAAAAGTAAAGATGAATGTTGGGGTGTTGATATCTGTGATAATTCATTCTACATGATATTATATAAGGTGTAGACTATCAACATCTCTTTCTGGCCAAACACTCTTTTCATCTACTCTCTTTTAAAAATTAATATGATTGTAAATATCTAATGGCATTTCATATCATTTCCATAAGGAAATATTTCTTCTGAGTGGAGAGTTATTTCTAAGGGCTCTAATTATCATATGCATGTACTTGATCTCTGTGGTGTCCGTCCTCATCCAGGCATCTCATAATAGTCATTCATGGTAACGTGACAACCTGTTTTATGGGGCTGAGGCCACGTGCCTAGGGAACATTACATTAATCCCAGCACACTAAAGTCAACTGAGGATAAGATGCACCCAAAACCTCTCTAAAGAACAATGTGAACTAATTGGTAACATTCATCTGCCACATTAATTGCTCACAGGAGAGTAACAAAGTATCTATTATTTCCCACACCAGCATTAGAATAATGTCAATGGTTTTAATGACTCTAAAAATATCTGAGATAAGTCTAGTGCAGATTGGAGAATCCCATGTTTCAGATATTTGTTTGAAGTTCTCATTTCCCATAACTTCTGTGTAGCACTGCAGACCTCTGACCAACCTAATATATCTGCCCTTACTTGTGTATGCATGTGTGTGAGCACCCTTTGCTCCACCTCTCCCTACACCTTGATTTTACTCTGTGACACAGTGGTATCCTGATTCTCATTTTCCATGAAATCTCCATCTCTCTCCATTACTTCTCTTCCTCCTCTGGCCTCAAAACATGGCAATTCACAAAGGTTCCGTCTTTTGCCCCTTTAGGGAACTCCTTTACAGTTAAGGCTTCAATCATAACTTAGCTGCTAACTATAAGTAGCTTAGCTGATTCTGATATCTGAACCTCTATTTCTGAATACTCATTTGGCTCCAGCCCTACAGGCTTTGTGAGCCACTGACATTTCTGTTGATGCGGTCAGGCTCCAACCATCATTATCTTCCTCAAAACCAGTTTACTTTGCTTCCATCTGTGATGTGTCACAGTCCCAGGAACCCAAGTCACACTTGAGGAGTCAGGTTTTATAGACACCTTGATCCAAAACCTGCGTAAAACACGGAGAAGTCCAAATGCAAGGATGCCTATGACTTTGTTTCATTACCATCCTGAGGACTTGGAGCAGTGGTTCTCTTCTGAAAGACTAAACTTCTAATTAAAAAGTGTGTTTTCTTCTTTTCCTTCTCCTTGACCACTTTGGTGCAGGTCATCCTGAGCCCAAAATTTTATTGTAACAGAAGACATTCTTAAGGACAAATCATATATAGGTTATGGTTTCATTTCATTTAAATTACTTGCAATGAGTTGTAAATAAGTCAATGTTTTCTAGCAATTCCTATCTCACCTTCTTTCTTAGCCCCACCCAACAAGATCACTGTTTATTAACTCCAATTCACCCCATTTGTACACAGTTGAAGAAAATCCCAGCTCCTCCTGCTAGTATTCTGATCTCTAAGGGGAAAAGGCATTTTTATCTCTTGTCTACAAATAATCCCTTAAATTTTGGCCAAAACTGTCTCCCTTCCAGATCAATTCATCTCAAGAAACATTTTAAGTTCACAATACCTACTGTACAACATAGTGACTATAGTTAATAACAATATAGTTAATAACAATTCAAGTACACTTGAAAATTGCTAAAAGTAGACTTTAAGAAACAAAAAATGTCATGTGAAGCAATTAGCTTGGTTAATTAGCTTGATTTAGCCATTCTACAATGTATACATATTTCAAAACATCATGTTATATACCATAAACACATAGGATTTTTGTTAATTAAAAATAATTAAATAATAAGAAAATGATGTTAGCCTTGTATAGGTACTATATACTGCATCTTTTGTACTAGAAAAAAATTAAACACTCTAATTGTAATTTGGTACAAAAACACCATGGAATATGCTATTTGATTTATTAATATGTACACAAAATATCTATATTTCATTTAAATTAAAAGAAATAAATAGGTATTTTATAATTTAATAAAATTGTTGTTCTGGCTTCGGCAGCACGTATACTAAAGTTGGAAGTATACAGAGAAGATTAGCATGGGGCTCTTGCGCAAGGATTACACACAAATTTGTGAAGTGTTCAATCTTTTCATAAATAAAAGAAAGAATTGCAAATAAGATTCATTAAAAAAAGAAAAAGTATTTTTAGAGAGAGGCTCATCAGCAAAGCACTAAGACACTGAGGACACAAATACAAAATCATCTCAACTTGGAATTGCTTGTTTCTCTTTTATGTATTCTAGATGAAGTTTCTATACCATCTTTCCTTTTATTTCTATAAAATTCCAACTAGCTCCCCTGAGCTGTTTACTTGCTCTATTTTACCCACTCTTTGACTCTCTCTTTGCATTTCTAGCTTCTAAAACTTCATCCTGCATCCTCTCGATGTCATCTTGGATTCCTTTCACTTTTCAAATATACTTCTTTCAAACCCATGTAGGAAGGACTCATTCCTTTTTGGGTACATGCATTTCTGGGCTTCAAACACTATGCAACTTTGTCTCCTGTGCCTACATAATATCCATAGGCTTGGCCTGAAAAGACCAGCCAGTCTTACCCATTTTTATAATTAACAACCTCATTACCTTTCCAGTCCACCGTTCCCACTATTTCCGGGTTAATCACTGTACAATACTACTTTATTATGTTATCTCTTTCCTCTTCCCCTGCTGGACAAAAACAGCACGTGACTCCTTAATGCTCACAGAATAAACGTCAGAATAAGGCTATACTCATAAATGAAGAAAGAAATAGACGATCACAAGATAACGTCATAGGCACAGGCTAAAGAGTGTGTAAGCAAAAATGAGTAAGATACTACATCACACCTCAGTAGTGAGGGATTCTGATCTCCAAGAGTTAACTTTGACACATGATAAGAGCTATATGCAAAAAATTACATTTACAAAGGAAAACAAGGATTCTTCTGAGGCATGTAAGAAGATACTGTTGGGAACACTTCTCAGAGAAAGAAACACCATTTTTCTGATCTCAAAGAGATTACCAGACAGTTAGACAGACGATTGTCATACCAAGCAATGCTTTACATTTCTTGAATTTAGAGGGAGTGGATATTAATCTCTAGGTAAAAGGTTCATGGAGAAGGTGAGACTTCAGCTTAACTTTGAAAATAAGAGTCAAATAAAAGGCAGGACTTGAAAGAATGTTTCAGGTAAAAAATGGTAGTAGCAAGAAGCCCATATTGAACTGCAAACCCTGTACAAAATTTTAAAAAAAGCAAATAGACCAGTTTGATTAAAAAGAAAGGATCATGCTCATAGATACTTGGAAACTCAGAGTTGGGAAGAACTTAAGAGTAATTGTAACTATTCTCCCTCCCTCTTGGGGCCAGGCTGTAGATTAGCTCTTAGGATGAACTGTCTTTCTCCCTCCCAAATACTAGTACATTTAACAAAGGTCCAGATACAGTGACCTCTAGCACTGTATTTCTGGCGCTCATCAGAACAACTCCTCTCAAACACAGCATTTAGAAATATACATGAGATAGTTACCTTTTAATTATTATTAATTTATATATCTTTTAATTATTTAGAAATAATTCAGTGGTCATATGAAAGACTTATTGCTATTTTCTAATGTGGCGTAATAACCCAAAACTTGGAATCAGCAATACAAACAGGAAGCATCATCTTCAGACCAAAAAGACAACAACTCCAATTTTTTCTTCTGGTAAAATTATAAAAAGGACAAAGAAGGCTGGGAGTCATGAAATCTTGGAATTACCCTTTGGATAGAATTTCACTGGCTCACTATCAGTCACGAAATATCAATTTAAGGCTTATTGTCACTTACATGCCCTTTCTTCATACATTTATTTTTAAAATAGCCATTCTCTGGCAGCCTCTCCTCATTCCTTATCCATTTCCTCTATCCTTCGCTGTTATAATTTATTTAAATAAAGTAGCAATAAACTGACTATGTTAAGAATGACAGGTACTTTACAATATAAGTCTCAGCCATGCCCTTCAAAAACATGTGGAATGAGACCAGCCTAGATCCAAACAGTTCCACAGACCTTTACATCACACATGGATGATCTTGGTGGATAATTAGCATAAAAATCTTGTTTGAGTGGCAATGGATTAGTTCATCTGCATTATTACTAATGGGGTGGTGAACGCTTATCCTCTACAATTCTGGGCCCCAACTAAAGCACCAGATAAACTGTCACATAAATCCGCAAGACATAAAAGCACACATGGAAAATGCCTATTAGCAGCTCTCATTATTATCGAGAAACAGCACGTTACCACCAAGCCCAGGGCAAACGTAAACGTGTTTGTCATCCCTTTAATGTTTTAAATTTTGACTTTTTTTTCTTTATACAGAATCATAAAGCTCAACTGGCAAGGGATTGGGCAGGGAAAGTAAGACATGTCTCTTCTCATAAAATCAGCAGAGGCATTCCATAACCACACAGAGCACTCAGCACGTGTGTCATCAGGCAGAAGTGGAAGTTTTGATGCTGAGAATCCCAGCTGCATATTTCTAGCATGAGGGGCTTGCTGTCTGCTCAGTAAAAGAACAGACTGGATCCAAGAAAAGAACGTGGTCCTGTCCCTGATAGAGATCCAAGTACGATAGTCCATGCATGTCAGACGGGTGTCTCAATAGCATCATCAGAGCAGGGCAAGGCACAGGGCTGGGTGGACTTTTTAACAAGTGAAGATGAACTTTACCATCGCAAATGTCTGTGCTGATTCAGTTTCCCTTTACAACATGTTCACTGGGACTATTTTTTTGCCCTGTAAATGATATTGGATGATTTCCATGCATGTAGCAACTATTAAATATAGTGGCAGCCATATTAGATGTTTTACTTATGTACTTCTCTTCTTCATAAGATTTTAAATTAGATTATTCTCTGCCTGTATCCTCCATTGTTTGGATAATATTTTTATATCTCCCATTTCACAGATGTCTTCTAATTAGAATTCTACCATAAAACAAGAAGTAATAGTATTAACAATACTTTACACATGGAATCTTTTGCATCTATCTACAAATCTGCAAGGAAAGTTGGTATTTCTTCTTCTTAAAATCATTATAAAAATCCAATCACTCATTTATTTAACAAATATTTATGGAGCACCTAGAATACGCAAAGCTCTCTGCCATAAGCTGGAACAAAACAAACAGTGAATAAAAACAAACAAAAAGCCATACTTTCATTGAGTTTACATTCTAGTGAGAAGAGATAAATAAAGAAATAATAAGTAAAACATATGGTATGTCAGGCCAGGCGCGGGGGCTCACGCCTGTAATCCCAGCATTTTCGGAGGTCGAGGTGGGCAGATCACCTGAGGTCAGGAGTTCGAGACCAGCCTGCCCAACGTGGTGAAACCCCGTCTCTACAAAAATACAAAAATTAACCAGGCACGGTGGCAGACACCTGTAATCCCAGCTACTCAGTAGGCTCAGGCAGGGAGAATTGCTTGAACCTGGGAGGTGGAGTTTGCAGTAAGCTGAGATCGCACCACTGCACTCTAGCCTGGGCGAGAGAGAGACTCAGACTCTGTCTCAAAAAAACAGAAGAACACACACACACACACACACACACACACACACACAAAATATATGGCATGTCAAATGATGGGGCAGATACTGCCTCTGCTTCTTGATATCTGATTCCCCTATTATTCTGACCTCATGAAAATTATATGTCTCCATCTCTTGAAATTAGTCACAATCATGTAACTAATTCTCACCAGCAGATTGTGCACAAAAGGGACATAAGCCACTTCCAGGTCAATTCATTAAGTTATTGGTGCCAGACCCTCCAACTCTGTTCTTCCTGTCCTGCAAGGAAGCAATTGACCAGATGGAGCCTGGGTCTTGAGAGACTACAAACATGTGATTGAGCAAAAAATACATGTTTCTATGTTTTTAAGTCTTTGAGATTTGGGGGTTTGTTGTTGGGACACAATCAAGCCTAACCTAACGAGTACAGGTGGTGATAAATGCTGAGGAGGAAAGTAAAGCAAGGAACCAGGAGGAGTCAGGGTGGGAAGGGGCACAATTTTTGACAGAGAGGGGAGGAGGCTTCACTTTAGAAGAAAGCCCTGAAGGAAGTGAAACAGATAATGAAAATAATGGACCATTCAGACATTTGGAGGAAGAATATTCTAGTCAGAAGGAACACCCAGTGCAAAGACCCAGAGAAAGGAATACTGTGGCTATAGGAAGATGAGTGAGGAGAAAACAGGAAGAGGTGAAGCTAGAGGTAGCTGGGCCAGATGGATAGGGTCTTAGAGGACATTGAGGGAATTTGGCTTTTATTCTGTGATGGTAAGTTATTAGAGGTTTTTGAGCAGAGAAATGATTAAAATCTGATTTATATTTTTACTGAATTACTTTAGGTGCTGTGTTGAGAATATTCTAAGAGCCAAAAATAGGGAGACTATTTAGGAAACTATAGCAATAATCCAAGTAAGAGATGGTGGTAGTTTCAATCAAGGTAGACGATAATTTGATTAAGAAAAATAGAGAAAATTTCTTGATAAAACTTGAAAGCAGAGCTAAAAATCTTGTCGATGAATCAAAAGAGAAATTTATGAGGAGCTACAGATGTCTCCAGTTTTATTGACCCGAGTAATGGAAAGATAGAGTTGTCTTTAGTTGAGTTGGGAACGACTACGGGACAGGGAAATATGGGATAGAGGCATTTAGAAGCTAGGTTTTGAACAGGCGAAACCTGCATGTCTATTAGAAAGCCAAATAGAGATATTAAGTAGGGAGTTGGATAAACGGATCTGAAGTTGAAGGGAGTGGTCAGGGCTAGAGATATAAATTTGGAACTTGTTGGTATTCAGACCGTATTTAAAGTCATAAGACTAGATGAGATCACCAAGGGAGGGAGAGCAGATAGAAGAGATCCAGGAACTCAGTCCTGGGACACTCCAATTTAAGAGACTGGTAAAATGAGTATGAATCAGCAAAGAAGACTTAATAGCCGCCAGTGAGAAAGGAGGAAAACCAGACAAATGAGGAAACTTGAACACAGAGATGTTAAACTACTTGCTAAGGGAGAATCAAACCTTAAATTTGACCCTGGCTCCCCTGCTTACAGC